TAGCACGCTTGCCTGGCATGCGTGGGGCCCCGGGTTCGATCCTCAGCACCACATACCAACAAAGATGTTGTGTCCACCGAGATTAAAAAATTCTCTCTTCTCTCTCTCTCTCTTCTCTCTCTCTCTCTCTCTCTCTCTAAAAAAAAAAAATGTTTCAATTTGGGGGAAGCCAAGGAAATCTTTTTTTTCTTGTTGCTTTTGCTTTTGGTGTGATAGTTAAGAAACCTTGCATAAGTCACTGTCATAAGATTTGTGCCTGATTTCCTTTCAAGAGTTTCATGGTCTTATTTCTTTCTGTTAGGTCCGTGGTCAACCGAGTGAGTTCTGTGTATGGTGTGCAGTTGGTGGGCCTTGTGTTGCTCTGGGCAGTGGCCCACTGTCCTGGCCACTTGTTTAAAACTCAGTTCTCTCCCCATTAAGCTACTTTGGCATCCCTGTCAAAAATCAGTGGGTCACAAATATCAGTTCATTCCCAGACTCTCAGTTCTCCCCGCTGATCTACATGCCTGTCCTTTAGCTTAAAGACAGCTTTGTTACACCTGGGAGGCACAGGTTGAGAGAAGCTTTACAAATGACACCTGGACTGGAACCATGAGCCACTGAAGGTAGTAGACGTTGTGGTCTGAACTAACCAGGCTGACCCGCTGTGAAAACAAAACCCAACATTTTCTGGAGAAATTCTCTGGAGAGAATGACATAACGGATTCTCAAAATGTCCAATTTACAACCCCAAATTACTTGACGTACAAAGAATCATGAAAATGTGACTCATTTCCAAAGGAAAAGATGATCAACCGGGCTGGGGATGTGGCTCAAGCAGTAACGGGCTCTCCTGGCATGCGGGGGCGCTGGGTTCCATCCTCAGCACCACAAAAAAATAAAATAAAGATGTTGTGTCCACCGAAAACTGAAAAATAAATATTAAAAAAGTATGATCAACAGACCCAACTCAGATGACCCAGGTGATGGAATTATCAAACAAAAACTTCAAAGTTTTTTTTTGTTTGATGTGACCATGTCACATGTGGCTAAGGCCAACACACTTGAGGCAAATGGAAGAGCAGTACTTCCCACTAAAGAGTGCGAGCAATGTAAGATAATGACACGGAAATCCTAAGCCAGTCCCAATGGCACAGTGATTTGGGTGGTAGAGGCAGGAGGATCACAAGTTTGAGACCAGCCTCAGCAACTTAGTGAGAACTTGTTTGAAATTAAAAATTTTAAAAAGAGAACCAAGGGGGCTGGGGATGTGGCTCAAGCGGTAGCGCGCTCGCCTGGCATGTGTGCGGCCCGGGTTCGATCCTCAGCACCACATACCAACAAAGATGTTGTGTCCGCCAAGAACTAAAAAATAAATATTAAAAATCTCAAAAAAAAAAGAACCACGGGCTGTGGTGTAGCTCAATGGTAAAGTACCCCTGCATCCCATCTCCAGTACTTTAATCAATTGTTCTGTTAATGTCAGGCAATGTATATTTTAGAGCAAAGACTATAACCAAAGATAAAAATAGACAGTACAGGGGCTGGGTTGT